AGAAAAATTTGATGAGAAAAGTGAGAAATACATTTTTGTGGGATATAGTGATCAGTCCAAAGCATATAGATTAATTGATCCAAGAACCAATAGTTTGGTAATTTCTAGAGATGTTATTTTTTATGAACTCAAAGCTTGGAAATGGGAGAATGGTGATATTAAAATGCCAAGATTTTTTGAGGAACCAGATTCATCAAATTCAGAAGAAACTCAAATGCTTCAAAGTCCAATATCAAGTACAAGAACTTGTTCCTCCAATTCTAGTTCCTCTAAAAGATCACCACCTTCAAGCGCAAGGCCAATAGGGAAAATACGTTTAATGGAGGACCTATATGAGTCCACTGATGAAATTGTTTTGAGTGCTGTTGAACCTCAAAAATTCGAAGATGCTGTAAAAGAAAATATTTGGCAAGATGCAATGGATGAGGAAATAAGAGTTATCAAGAAAAATAGAATGGGAACTTGTTGATCGACCCAAATCAAAAGATATCATTAGATTTAAATGGGTCTACAGGACAAATTTTAATGAAGATGGCTCAATCCAAAAGCATAAGGCTCGCTTGGTTGCAAAAAGATATTCTCAACAACCAGGAATTGATTTTAATGAGACTTTTGCTTCGGTAGTTTGAATGGAGACTATAAGGACTGTTTTGGCTTTGGCTGCACAACTAAAGACAAAGGTTTATGAATTGGATGTCAAATCTGCATTTTTAAATGGAGAACTTGAAGAAGAGGTTTATGTGGAGCAACCTCAAGGTTATGTTGAGAAAGGGAGGGAAGATAAAGTTTATCGTCTCCATAAAGCCTTATATGGCTTAAAGCAAGCTCCAAGAGCTTGGAACAATAAAATTGATCACTATTTTCAACAAACTGGATTTACAAGAAGCTTAAGTGAGCCATTAATTTATCTCAAGAAAGAAGGTACACATGATTTTCTGATTTTTGTCTCTATATATTGATGATTTGATCTATACAAGCACAAATCCAGGGTTGGCAGAAGTTTTCAAGAAGAACATGATGAAGGAATATGAGATGACAGATCTGGGCACTATGAGATATTTTCTTGGTATACAGGTTCAACTTATTCTTAATTGGTCTCCAACCAAGGCAGTCAAAGATAAGACTCATTTTGAAGCATGGCATCGTTTTAAACCAAATGTGGATTTCTTCAAGATTTTTGGTTGCATTGCATATGCACATATTCCTTCTTAAAGGAGAAAAGTTTGACGAGAAAGGTGAGAAATACATTTTTGTGGGATAAAGTGATCAGTCCAAAGCATACATATTAATTGATCCAACTGGTAATTTCTAGAGATGTTATTTTTTATGAACTCAAGGCTTGGAAATGGGAGAATGATGATATTGAAGTGCCAAGATTTTTTGAGGAACCAGATTCATCAAATTCAGACGAAACTCAAATGCTTCAAAGTCCAATATCAAGTACAAGAACACGTTCATCCAGTTCTAGTTCCTTTAAAAAAACACCACTTTCAAGCGCAAGGCCAATCGAGAAAATACGTTTAATGGAGGATCTATATGAGTCCACTAATGAAGTTGTTTTGAGTGCTATTGAACCTCAAAAATTCGAAGATGCTGTAAAAGAAAATATTTGGCAAGTTGCAATGGATGAGGAAATAAGAGTTATCAAGAAAAATAGAACATGGGAACTTGTTGATCGACCCAAATCAAAAGATATCACTGGACTTAAATGGGTCTACAAGACAAAGTTTAATGAAGATGGTTCAATCCAAAAGCATAAGGCTCACTTGGTTGCAAAAGGATACTCTCAACAACCAAGAATTGATTTTAATGAGATGTTTGCTCCGATAGTTCGAATGGAGACTATAAGGACTATTTTGGCTTTGGCTGCACAATTGAAGACAAAGGTTAATCAATTGGATGTCAAATCTGCATTTTTAAATGGAGAACTATAAGAAGAGGTTTATGTGGAGCAACCTCAAGGTTATGTTGAAAAAGGGAGGGAAGATAAAGTTTATCGCTTCCGTAAAGCCTTTTATGGCTTAAAGCAAGCACCAAGAGCCTGGAACAATAAAATTGATCACTATTTTCAACAAACTGGATTTACAAGAAGCTTAAGTGAGCCATTAATTTATCTCAAGAAAGAAGGTACACATGATTTTCTGATTTTTGTCTCTATATATTGATGATTTGATCTATACAAGCACAAATCCAGGGTTGGCAGAAGTTTTCAAGAAGAACATGATGAAGGAATATGAGATGACAGATCTGGGCACTATGAGATATTTTCTTGGTATACAGGTTCAACAATAAGATGATGGGATATTTATTTCTCAAGAGAAGTAAGCTAAAAATTTGTTGGAAAAATTCAATATGTTGAAGAGCAAACCAATGAATCAGATGATGGGATATTTATTTCTCAAGAGAAGTAAGCTAAAAATTTGTTGGAAAAATTCAATATGTTGAAGAGCAAACCAATGGATACTCGAATGGCAATTAATTTGAAGCTTACAAGTAATGATGGAGCACCTAAGTTTGATGCATCCATATATAGAAGTGTGGTTGGTTCATTAATTTATCTAACAAATACAAGGCCAGATATTGTGCCATAAGTGGGGTATCTAGATTCAGGTGTGATCCAAGTAATCACGATAGAGTACACAACGAAACACAACAGAGGCACAAATACGACAGATGCACGAACACAGTAGAGGCACTAACACGGCAGAGTACACAACGGAACACAGCAAAGGCACATATACGGCAGATGCACGAAGACATGAATGGCACGAACACAGTAGAGGCACGAACACTACAACACAACAGTACACAAACCCAAGAGGGCACACACGACACAGGTAGAAAAAAATATGGGGCTAGAACACAGGTGAGCACAACACACAGGTCACCAGAAAGTCGGCTCTGAGGCCAAGTCAAATAATATGGGGTAGAATAGTTTCTGATATATTTCATTCTCCAAAAGGAGGTATTTATAATAAAAGGTTGTAACCCTAGTAGGGTTATACAAGGAAATAAGATAAAATCCTAATTACATAATATTTGTACAAAAAGGAAAGAAATAGAGTCCTAATAGACTAGGAAATAAATCTCCTAATTAAGCTAGGATCTCGCTAACAAGCTAAACACTCTTCCTCCTTTGATAGCAACTGCAATGCAGCCAGGGAGTCATATTCAATTACCAAAGGCAGAAGCGATGCATCTGAGGCAAAAACGAGACCCACTTTGAGAGCGTAAAGCTCGATAGCCAACACAGACAGTACGACAAACATTGAATAATGATATTTATATGAAAAGACAAGAGCGCTAAACCTTATAGTCTTAAATTAATTATATTGAAATTGAAATTTTAGGGAGCATTTATTTTCACAATCAAAATCAGCATTTAAAGATCATTTATGCAAAAAATACATATATGAAAGTTATGATGATCATAAGCTTAAACAAATACATATAAACTTTTGGCTTGAAATTAATCGACCAATGGTTAGGAATATTATAGAGGTGAAGGTGCGCTGAGTTAATCCTAGAATATTGGAGGAGAATATTCACATGGCTAAAGTGGAGCCATTTCTTATAGTTTCACATAGACACGTACCCCTCTGATCAAAGATTGAATTTGATTGCATTTTGGTGCTCAAAGCATCAAGGCATTGTTTATATTCTTAGTTTTCACAACTTTACAATGAGTTCCTGACATCTAGAGCATTTGATGAAACAGAGATTTTTGACCACAACTTCGTATCTCGCTAATTATAATTAACTAATAATTGACCTTAAAATATATATGTTAATTTTCTCGTTGCGTTTCATATCATTTTTCAATTTGTATCTATTTGAATTTGAAATGAGGACCTTATAAAAAGAAAAAAGAAAATTGTTAACGCACCTGTGCTCATCAAGGGAGAAGAATCAGGATCACATTCTTCTCCCCTTCCATATAGTTGACTTGCTGTGCAAATATTTGTAGTTCTTATCATTTAAGGCTATTTCCATTTTCCATTGTACAAATATAAATGCTGTAATCTTTACACAAGAATTCAATTGTTAGTTGTTGTTTTGTTGTAGAGTGACGGGCTGAATGTGGTGGCTTATATTTGGATTAACCATAAGTGGTTACTATACTTTCATATTTGTATTACTCCTTTGTGGACATTTGTATTTGCTCTTGTGGCTGATGGTCTTTGTGCCTAATTTATAAATACAATTATCGCTTTTCTCTATAAAAAAAAACTTACCCATGGTTAACGTTATTACAATGAAATTGATGACGATCATTCCTTTCATCAATCAGTTCCCAGTTAACGTTATTGCTTGTATATATATAATACCACACAAATTAATAAGAAATTTGGGCTGTAAAACCGATGAGGAAAATAAATTTGCAGTACCAACCAATGAAGTGATTAAAGTTGTTGCTAGACACAAATATTTCGCTAATTTCATGTGAAAATGCAAAGAATGTAAGACACAAATAACAACCACTTTCACAATTCAGTCGAGGTATCGAAGTGTTTTCGTTAGGATTGAGAAAAGAAAGAGTCAGTCTTTATAGGGGGAGAGGGTTGTCAAACTGTTAAGTAATGAATTGAACTTTTCTGGACTTTAAATCTCCCATTTCTTGTTGGTTTTTTTTTATTTTAAAAAAGGGTTATTTTGATGCATTAATAAAACCCACCTATTTCAATATATTTTAATTTCACTTTTTCAATCCCCATAAGTCAGCTTCCTCCTCTCCGCCGCGTTCCTTCAACTTGTTTGACATTCGAATGACGACCTAACTTTTGGCTCAATTTTCATGATCCAAATTTAGTTTTTAATTGGTATGTAGACCACTCCACTAAGCTCAAAAGGAAAAATCTGCACGCCAGCCTTCCTATAAAAACCCACCTCCATTGTCACCCGTAATCAACCATTCATTCCCAAGTCCCATCTAAGCCTGTTTCCCTTCCAACAACACAAAACCTCTCCCTAGAAACCCTCTCATTACACATTCTTTCTCCATGAAGCTGATACAGCATTTCTTGATATTTCTTCTCCTCTTGGGTCTTGTTCTAACCAACGTTGAAGCAAACCCCAACGCAGAGGAGGAAGAACATGAAACCAATATTAATGATTCTTTGAACTCTCTGGTAAACGAAACTGAAGAACAATCTTCAACCTTACATGGAAATGGCCGGTCTCTCTTGCGCAAACACCGGCTGCGATTGACTTGTAACAAGTTCCCCGGGATATGCCGTGCTAAGGGAAGCCCAGGGCCTTCCTGCTGCAAGAAGAAGTGTGTTAATGTGTTGACAGACCGCCTCAACTGTGGAAGATGTGGAAAGAAGTGTAGGTACAATGAGATATGCTGCAAGGGAAAATGTGTAAATCCATCTTTCAATAGGGGGCATTGTGGTGGCTGCAACAATAGGTGCAAAGATGGTGGGTTTTGTGCATTTGGCCTATGCAACTATGCATAGTAATCTTTTGATTCTTTTGTTTTTTGTTTTTCTTGTTCGTTTAATTCAAATTCTTGAAATTGTATGCAATTGCAAGCAAGCAAGCAAATTTTTAATTTTATATCATATTTTCCAAAGAAATTTTTAGTTATGTTTAAAACATCTGCTCATGGCCGCTGCAAGCAATGGCAAAAGGCCTAACTTAATTTTGCCGCGAGATGAATCCGACTAGTTTGGTCACACTCCAACCAAAGCAATTTTAATTTTTATGAAAAAACCAAATCATAATCCTGACAGCATCGTGCGACATTTGATTGCATACCATCCAAGTAGCAGTACGACGGACATTGAACAATAATATGTATATGAAAACACGAGAGTGCTAAACCTTATAATCTTAAATTAATTTTATTAAAATTAAAATTTTAGGGAGTATTTATTTCCACAAAACATATATGAAAGTTATGATCATCGTAAGCTTAAAAAAATACATATTAAGTTTTGGCATGAAATTAATCGACCAGTGGTTCGTGGTGAGGAATATTATAGAGGTGAAGGTGAGCTGAGTTAATCCTAGAATATTAGAGGAGAATATTCACATGGCTAAAGTGGAGCCATTTCTTATAGTTTCACATAGACACGTACCCCTCTTATCAAAGATTGAATTTGATTGCATTTTGGTGCTCAAAGCATCAACGAATTGTTTATATTCTTTGTTTCCACAACTTTACAATGAGTTCTGGACATCTGGAGCATTTGATGAAACAGAGATTAATTATGCTTTGACCACAACTTTTTTTTTTGGTAAAAAGGAGGGCCAAAGGCCCAGCAACAGCAGAAAGAACAGCCGTTGAATTTGTACCATTCCACTAAGAAAACATGCATGTAGCTAGCAAAGCTAGCATGTCGACTCTGCTTTCAAGTTATCCCTATAAGTGGTGGTTAACTTTATTATAATGAGATTGATGATGATATTCCTTTCATCAATCAGTTTCCAGTTTCATATATTTTATTATTTGTCAATCCTTTCTCACTATCTTAAGAGTTCAAAATTTATGATTCTATGAACACCAATGCCAATCATTTACCTTATGGTTGATACTTAAAGTTGTATCAACCCAAGAGAGCGCAAGCGCATATTGTTAGTATATATTTGAAGTTAACGAGGTTTAGTCTAGTGAAAAAGGGGCTTGATTTGCAGACCAGTGATGTCACGTTCGAACCCCATGACACCTTGATAGTATTAGTGTGTGTGAAACCCCTCTTCCTCTTGTAGTTTAGACTATCACTTGTATATTAAAAAATATATATTATATATTTGAAATATGAACCAATTGCATACGTCGATTAATAACAATACAGTGTTTCAATACCGCACAAATTTGTAGAACATAATTAAGAAATTTGGGCTGTAAAACCGATGAGGAAATAAATTTGCAGCACCAACCAATGAAGTGATTAACGTTGTAGCTAGAGACAAATATTTTGCTATTTTCATGTGAAAACAAAGAACCATTCAGTCGAGGTTGAAGTGTTTTCGTTAGGATTGAGAAAAGAAAGAGTCACAGTATTTATAGGGGGAGAGAGTTGTCAAACTGATGAGTAAAAAATTGAACTTTTCTAGACTTTAATACGTTAAGGATATTGCTTGCCTCCTCATTCCTGCAAATCACGGTTTAACACATGTGCAAAACTAATTCATCAAAAACATAAAAAGAAAAACTTATATACACATGTCATACTACTATTAGCAGGAATGTATGAGTTCTTACTTATCGGATAAAAGAATGAAGTATTTTCCATAGGTTAATGCATACTTGTTTTTTATATATAGTTTCTCTATGGAAAATATTTCTTTTTCCCCAAAAACATCCATGGGCTGTGGCCTACTACAGCTATATAGTTGTTCCACCAAAACAAACAAAGCTATGCCATTTCTTCGTAGTATACCTGACAAATTGGGAGGTGTAACCACAATAGTATAAAACGATTTGATTGAATTCTTTTTTTGTTTTTGTCCGAATTAAGTTTTATTAATAGAAAGCTAATGGCAATTATATCATAAATCATAGAGAAACTATATATATAAAAAATGAGTTCAATCAAATGCAATATAAAAAGCCTATTAAAATAATAAAACACAAACATGTATAATGCCTAAAACTGGCATAAAGCCATAACCAGTGGTGGATCCACAGAGAAGCAAGAGTGGTCAATTGATTCATGCAACACCGGACTCTGCCATAGAAGGTGAAGAAGTTGACCCATGCAAGATGCCTACAACCTACTTGATAAAATGCCCCAAAAGGCACAGCATAGGCCAGAGCCCTTCCCTTTTTAGCTCGTTTTAAAGGATGACGATTTTCGAAATGAATGGTCGTAATTTTTTTCTGAGCCTTTTAAAGAACGACAAGGAACCGTGTGGTTTTTCATGATTTTTAAAAACACGACGCTTTTAAGTTTTATGGTCGTCTAATATGGGTTGTAGTTTCCCATAATTGTAATAGTGAAACCCTATTTTATTTTTACCAAACACATAAATTTTTTACCAAAAAAAAAAAAGCAATCCTAACGCCTAGAAATCTGCTGTGAAGTTGTGTGTGTTAGTTGATGTGCTAAAACTTTTCATATTTGTAGGGGTCTTGACCTAGGCCATCAGTGACTCATATCCTTAAGATGTTATATATCTCGGCCTTCAAGCCATCTCTTGCAATACTTTCTATTTTCCAAATTGTTCGTTTGAATGGGTCGTGCCTAGCACATGGTCATTTCTTGCTCAATTTGTGTATATGTCCATTGCATATGTCTAAATGTCCACCCACGTTAATCCTCTAATTAATCCTCAATTAATGGTCGAACATCCCCCTTCTAGCTAGAAAATTAGGGTTTCAAAATGAATTCTAATCCCAAAATTTACGAAAATCCACATATCTTAGTTTCAAAACTTCAAATATCTTTCGAAAATTTTCAGATTGTTTAAATAATAACACACTCAATATTTGTCTAATTTGCGAAGGTGAAAACGAAGAACATGCGTAATTGCATGTCTCTATGTTAAATATGGCAAATATCACCAAATAATAGTGACTGTTGTCTTTTTTTTTTGGGTAGTGTAGCACCCTTTTTGGTGGAAACGCAAAAGCTATATACATGAGGCAGGCCATGTGCTTTACAAAGCGACTTTCCTGGAAAATGTTATGGTCATTTGCTTCAACCAGTGTGTTATAGGAAGAATCGCAAATTGAGGAAATCAATTACTTCAACACCTAATTACAAAGCTGGATCTTGCTTGTTTTGTTTGCTTATCAAGTTATCACTTATCAAACAAATGGCCTATTATTAAACTAGGAGCAGCGCATGCATAGAGGCAGACCTTTGACTGGGCCGCACTTTTTTAAGTTCTTGCTTCGATCTCAAATAATGCATATACATGCTGCTTCTCCCCCCCCTTTTTTTTTTTGGTGAACTGCTTATACTCCTTTAAAATAAAGAAAATTAATGATTCTTTCAACGATAATAAAGTCTATGCCACTTAAAAATTAGTTTTAATAAGTTAAAATAATGGCAACTATATTAAAAAATAAAATAAAAAAGGATGTGATTTCACAGTCTCTCATGGTTAATTCTAATTTTCGGGATTGAGGAATAAATTTGGTTGGGATTATCCCACTCCTCTCCGGAGAAGAGTTTTCTTGCGGTGGACGCATGAGAGGCGTAACCGTCTAATGTGAGAGTAGTTCTTGCATACAATTAGTTGTATATAGTTAAGTATTTGCTCCGATAACGTGAGAACTAAAAAAAATTGATTAATGTTTTACAGTGGTAGTTTCTTAACAAAAAACATAATTTACTTTCAGAATCTAACGGAAATTTACAGTGTGATTACTTGGAACAATTAAATACTAAATATAAGAAATAATTACATAAATAAATCTTTTAATAAAAGAGCGATCATATTTTGTTGCTAAGATAATAAAAAACAACTAAGATTGAGCAATAGTATTCAATCTTTAAAATGAATATTGGCTGCCAATGGGTTACAACTCAATTGGTTGAGCTCTTCCACCTACCCTTATGTGGATAGAGGTTCGAAACCTCGAAGCACCCAAAAAAATATTTGTGTAAACAACCCCCAACTGCTTGTACTAAAAAAAAAAAAAGTGACTGTTGGCTAGTTCATGTGAAGTATTTTAATTAGTTTTGGGGAATTGTTTTGAAATTATGTTAAAACAAAAACTAAGTCACCCTATTAACTAAATATGTCTTTGTTATGTAAAAAATGAAAAAAAATAAAATAATGGGCACCAAAGGAATCCCTTACTATAACAATATCCATATTATATCGAACAAAGTATACCTTACTGGTCTCCCTATGCAGATTCTCAATTAACATTACATCTCTCGAACAAAACATGTATAAGTATTGTATAATTATAAGTTATTGATTCATACAAATTCCGTACTCATAAATCAAGTTCTTAAATAGATCATAACATCGATTATTACATTCAGAGAAAAGCACTCGAGGACTCTATAATTAATAATAAAAAGTAGTAATAATTGTATAATTAATTGAGAGAACCACCAATTTCTTTTTTTTTTCTTCTTATTGTGGTTGTTTTATTGCATAATCAATATAATTACGAACCTCAGGAGCACTCACAATCCCTTAATGGACCGTCTTAATCACGCATAATCACAGAGACCATACACGCAAAACGCTCCATCCTTGCAGGGATGGTTGCACCGGCCACAATGCCTCTTGTCAAAAGCCAGGTCCACGCACTGCCCTCTGCAACACGACTGCGTGTACTTGCACTTCTTGTTGCATGCACCACAGTTGTCCTTGTCTTCGGACAAATCCACGCACTTCTTGTTGCAGCAGGTCCATGTCGTATTAGCCGGCGTCAGGTATTCGCATATGTCATAGTCATGTTTGCATTGGGGAGCTGCTCTAAGGTTTCTTGCTACCAGATCCTTTTCAGCAAGGAAGCGACTCTTGGAGGACAGCAGCAACTTTTTTTCGTTGTCAGCCGACGGTTGCTCTTTCCATGAGTCGGTGAAAGGGGATTTGCCTTCTTCTTGATGGCTAACCCTTGTCACGGTCGTGAGAGCGATAGACAAAGCCATGGTTGTTGCTATGAGCAATATAATCTTGATGACCTTCATGGCTTTGTGTCTCTCTTTGTGTTCGTGTGTTTTTTGTGTCTGTCTGGGTGAGAGAGAGAGAGAGAGAGAGAGAGAGATGGTATTGGATTCTGAGGAGAGTTTGATTTGATCGGAGGAGGGGAAAACTCAGGGTTTATAGTAGCGAGGGGTTGACGCGGGAAAGGTGGTAAAAGCTGGTGGTTCTTTGGGATGTGACGCAAAGAGTGTGGTCAAATTCTAGGCCCTAGGGCATCATATTAGTCTTACTTGTTAAAGAAACTTAATTGATATGGGCACTCAAACTCAACCCCTCCATTTTCAAAGGGCACCCTCCATTTCAAAGACCCTATGATGCATGTAAAATTACATAGCACGTAGTAATATCAAAAAGATCATTTCTCTTGGACCAATTACCAGATCGTGATCATGTTATATGACAAATGATCTGTTTTATTTATTTATTTATAATTTATAATACGAGCGATATTAGGGGAATGAGTTTTTCTCATAAGGGTTCGAACTTGACCAATAGTCTACACCCGGTGATCTGCTTATTAAAACTGAAAGGTCTATAATTAATGTAACATACAATTGAACCATAGATGCTAGATCTAATGTGATTCAAGCATGAAGCATATTGTTCTTCGCATCTGAATGATCTCACTACCAATGCCACACCATAAAAGTCAAAGGGTAGTTTTGACATTTCACGACCCTTGATCCCTTCCGACCATGAGGTGCCCGAAATATGAGAATCAATTGTGCCGAAATGGGCGAACCTGAAGAAATTTAGGCATGCTGTGAGGGGAAGCAAAGGGATTGGCCATTAACGAAACGCCATTACACAACGAAGCAAAACAGATCGCCCAAACCTTAAAAAACGTTTTTCTACATGACGTGTCCTTTTCTAAACTATACTTGAGCTCTAAGTAGGGTGCTGTGTGCACAGCTTATTAATCAAAGAAAAAAAAAACATGTAAATGCAATTATTTAAGTTAACTAGCCCTGAAGGCTTAATACACTTCTACCCGCGTTTATTGTGTAGCACGTAATTATAGAGTATGCCAAGTATCACGGGGAGCCCCGGCAAATGAATGACCGCCACGTATGCTTTTTAGGCTGCTTAATTTGACATAAGTTTCGTATATTTTAGTATTGCCCTATTTTCAAATCATGTGTTTTAATTGATTTCTACGAGTTCATCAAGCTTGTTCCATTTTTTGTGTATGGAGAAAAATTCAGAATGAACATGAATCAAGTGTGTTTTCAAAAGAAGAATTGTGGAATATTCTTTTAACCCAAGGACAAGTTCACAATTGATGAATCCAATCAATTTCTTTAATCAATTTTTTTTTCTTCCGAAAGTCTCAAATTGTTAATTATGTGTTCTCTATTTTTTTTCTTTTCTTTTTGTACGTTTTTACAATTAAGTTAAAAGTAATATGTTCGTAGAACTCGTATTGTCTCTGTTATTTAATTTTTGTGTGTTTAGAGATTAATCCCCCCATTTCACCGAAAAAAAGTAATATATTCGTCTTGAGCCATTATAGTTAGTCCTATAAACAAACTAGAATTCAACCGATATTAAAGAAAGTACTTGCCCAACAGAAAAAAAGATTTCTAAAGAAACTTTTTTTTGATTTTTTTCATAGTCTAATAATTAACCAACAATAGCGTAACGATTATATGAATGGATATCCATGAATATAAACTCATAAAATGAACGATTCAAATCATAGAATTACATTTTGGAATGAGACTGAACGAGTGATTATCATTGTATTAATATCAATATGTTATATGTACATATACGTTGAGTATGAATATTATTGAGGGAGATTCACTATTATACCCAATATCCTATACGAAATGGACTTTAGAAACACACCCAAAGCCCATTTAAACATAAAGGCTTTTAATTTCTTATAAATTACTAAACTACCATCAATTTCTTAAAACAAACCCAACCCAAAAACCTCATAAAAATACCCAAAACACTCAACAGAGAATCAAAGTAATTTAATAATAATTAAAATTAAATTCAATAAGGCTACCTGTCATTTTTTGAGTTTTATTTTTTGAATTTGTTTACAGAAATTAAATGATGTAGAGTTTATCTATATTATTAGTACTAAGAATAGGTATATGACTAAATATCTCTATTAATAGAACCCACAAACTGTTTTTAGAGACTAGACCTTCTGATGGCTGATGGTTACTTGCATGGTTTTTATTTTTTATTTATATGAACATGCATTGGTTACTTGTATTGTAGATCAACATAGTTTAAAATATGTGCTGATGATGTCTAAGATTAAAAAAGATAATTGTTTGAATATTTCAAATGCCATATTCGAAAAGCATTAATAGTATGACCTCATGTTCTCTATGGAAGGAATATTCAGGTCAATTCCTTTTGCTCACTTCAACCACATTTGATCTGATTGGTTATAACGCTTTGGGAGGTCAAGATCCGTCTTCTTCTAGAGAGGGAATATAAAATACACCCAATGGACCAATAAGAATGAATGTTAACCTGATAAGCCACAATTATTAATTTTCATGATCTGTGAGGAACAAATCCCATATGGTTGAAATTCTATGGATCTAATTGGGATATTG